GGGGCGACAGTTTTGTTCACAACCCAGCATACAAGTAAACATATAACTGAATTAGCAGAACTCGGTAAGACTCAACACTCAGCACAGTAATAAATATTTATCCAAGTATGAAACAAAAAGACGTTAATACAACCCTGGTATTAATCGGAAAGGCACTTTATTACAATACTGCATCCATGATTGACCGTATTTCACCAGGCAACGCGATTCGTCATTGCACAGACGAACGAAAAGGAAACCTGAAGACAGCTTTACCTCTGGATTTGCAAGATGAAAAAATTAGTAGGATCAAAATGGTATTATTGGCATATTCATGAACCCTTTAAGGACACGCCACGCATTCAAACTTTATTGAACATCGCAAGTTCATTTGAAGAAGCAAGCGGACCCTGCGGCTGCAGGGGATCAATGCTAATGGAAGGATTTGAACAAGTAATTGCTTTGTATGGGGCCAAACGAAATCACGACCTCTGTTCAGGACATCTCTTTTCCACTAAAGCCCAATACAAAATGGACCAATTAGAAGCAATAAAGGCCAAGGTTTTCTCGGATGGCTCTGTCGTAGGGGTACTTGGTGCCTTCACTCAATGATTCTCCTCTGTCCGTTGAACCCTTGGAGAGCTCAAGCTTACAATCAAGGAGATAAATTTGCAACCTCTGAATCGTCTTAACGCACCCTACAGCCGCACAAGTGCATTGAAATTGTCAAGATCTCCGCCCATTCACCCCCTCCCCTCCCTCCGTCCCCCTCCCCCTTCTTGTGGAGTTCAATGAGGACAGGCTCAAAAGTGAGTTTTGTAGCAGATAGCAGGAAATTTTCGGGCAAATATTTTATGTACTAAATCCCGTGGGGCCTGTCGCACTTGCAAACTTAGTGACACAGTGCATCAGATAGCATCAAGAGCATCAAAAACTGTAAGTAGTCGCGATTTGTTAGCGGTGTTACTGATAATCTGAGAAATCCGTAGTAAACTTGGCTACAGTCGCGCACAGCCCATATGCAGTGAATTCCGATCGGAGATGGGGCCCACTTTTGGTCAGGAGGCGGTCAAGAGTCCCCAGCGACCACCGCGCCAAAACCAGGTCACCGCACGCGACATCGACGGGTGCGGTGAGCTGGTTGTGCAGTTTGGAACATGGCTATTTGCCAAGTTTAAGACCCGGCTATCTAGACGATCGATCCGAGGCTTTTCGTCCCGTTTGTATAGACCCCCCTTCTGAATGTGTTTTACTTTGTGCTAGCGAATTCAAACTGTAAGGACTTGGATACGGTAGCCGCCGCGGGCCCGGCGACCTCAGGGGACTCCTGTCTCGCATCCCTCTCGTTCAGCGTGTGCTGCGTGCCCAAAAGTTGGGGCCCTGTGTGGTTTTAATGGAACTCGAATGCGGAGGGTAATTGTCGAATCTTGTTTGTATAAGTAACTTTTTGCCAATTGGAATAAACAAAAGAACCTGTAACAAAAGCTGCAGGCAGATGGCAAGCGACCGGATAGGACCTTGGAAAGCTGAGAAGACGATAAACGTCACCGCTTCAGAAACATAGTTCGGATGTCGCAACATTGAGCCATAGAGCCGTGCCTGACGAAAATTTCAGAACCTTTTTTCAACCTTTCATGAGAAAAAAAAAACAACTATGCAACGAGAAAAACATAAAAAAATCCCGAAAGTTTGTGCTCTTCCTGTGTAGCAAAAACAGTCATCATTTTTCGTTTCTTTCTCCTTGAAAATCAGTTTTTTTTTCTCACCAGATTTCGTTCCGAGTTGCGTATGTGACTCATCCTTTGTTGTATTTGAATGAGCGAATTAGTCTACAAAAACGTGTTGGTACGATGTATGAGGAAAACTCGTAATCCAGAGGACGGTCAATAATTGTGACGGCCTTCTCAGTACCCTCTTTGGACCTTCCCCATCTCCACCACACTACTTCTAGGTAACTCGTCGATAATCACTTTCAATCTTGCTTTCGAATACCCTCCAAACTTTTAATCTTCGTGGAGTATCTGACATCCATAACACAGGGGAGACGCGTCAGATAGGTAACTCCGAAATAGCCATAATGCGGTTGTTCTAAAATTGTTTTGAATTTCGTAGAAAGTAATCCCGACATCCCAAAAAAATTCCATTCTCTTTGTTCTCAGGCCATTCTGCTAACTTTGCCGAGTACAATCCCTCACTTCGAAAATTCACAAATATAGTTTCCCTCGTCGAAAATTTTTCACTGGTCGCAAGCTCGGTTCCGTTTCATTGGACCGTCTGGGTGTGGTGTCACAGGGCCGATGTCATAGTTTGCGAATCAAATCGAGCGTTGCGCCAGCGAATCGAACGTTGCACCAGCGAATCGAACTTTGCGCCAGCGAGTCGAACGATGTACCAGCGAGTCGAACTAGGTACCAGCGACTCAATAGTGGCGGGACCCAACGTTTAAAGGAAGCCCGCCACTTTCAAACAGTGTCCACTGCGAAAGTCCCGCCACTTTCAAACAGCGATTCGCTGGCGCAACGCTCGGATCTAGCGATTCGCTAGCGAATCGCTCGATTCGCAAACTATGACATCGGCCACACGGGGGCGTCCTCAATTGCATAATATGAGTCGTACATCCAATATGAGTGCGTTTTTACTACTCGTTCACCACAAATAAGCTAATGAGAAAATAAAAAAATGAAGAGTGGAACAGCTATGGAATATCGATCCATTTCTTGCCTCCATTCAAAAAAATTTGTATTCACTCTGCTTAGAAAGCTGGCTTGAATGTTCAAAAAGTTTTAAAATTAAATAACCAAATTCGCGCTTAAAAGTCAATAAAAACCTAAAAAAATTCTGACTGCAGAATCAAAGAAAAAATCTAGGAAATCAGAAAAAATCTCACCGAGTAAAAGATTAGCTGACGTGTCACCAGTATCAGTTTTATACTTGGCTGTGATAAAGTACGGATCCACTCCACGTATTTTGATGAATCCTTTTGATCGCCTAAATTAGCAAAATTTACTTATAAATCGATTTCCGCTTACTGCTGAAGTCACCCCTTGATTTTTTTGAACCATCTGCTCTGCCCCATTGATTTTTAAGCCAGGGCGCATGTTTCAAATCTTTTCGGCTACAATTTGAAAAAAAGGTAATGCTCTTGAAAGACCAATTCCTCAAAGCAAACAGATGACATGAAAAGTTCCAATTTTTTAAATGAAATAGAGCAGGCATATGGCGCGTGCGGTTGCGATGCCTGCGTGTTAGTGTGCGACCCTGGCTCGCACGGTTCAGATCGGGCTTATAGAGGACCTTTTTGAAACAGCATACGACGCTATCTAAAACGACTATTGCGGCCGGCTGACACGCAGTTAAGCGGCATACAGCAACGCTGCCGCTTCGCAACCGCACGCGACCATTTTTGATTAACGCATAGCTGGCTAAACATGTAAAAGAAATAGCTAGCCGTTGAGCGACTAATAACTTATCGTTAGTAGACCTCACTATTCAATTACCATGATCCTTTAATTACTCACCGGAAATCGTACTTTTGCTTATCAATAACTGTTGTCATGTATATAGAAACGAAAGCAGCAACCGTAAGCACACAGCATGATAGTAATGAGATCGATTTTTGAGTATGGGCTATTATGGAGACCGAAGAACAGTACAATACAGGAAACATAACCTGAAATTGCTATTTGAAGTAGTAAATCCGGGCCTTAATGACTCTAACCTACCATATCACTCCACAACTTGTAAAATCCACAATTGGCGCGTTTATAGTCCAGTGAGTTTAGCGCCAAATTTTCAGTCCATTGATTCCTTATGATGTAGGCCATTTGAACTAGACTGCTTGCAATGAGATTTTCTAAACAGAGTGAATCATTCACCAGCTCCACCCCTCCAACATCTGTCCCGCCCACTTTTGAATGTTTATGTTAACTAACTTGATATTTTTCCATGAATATTCCTTTGGTAAAAGAGTGCCGAAATAATGAACAGTGGCCAAAGAACCAGAGTGATACGCGATCGTACGAAATGTTTGAGATCGATGTCGAGAACTGTCGGATACAGTTCCACACCGAAACAGAATTCGGATACGGTAGTCACTGGAATGTGCAATTACACACTTGGCACAAAATAGAGAAAAAAGGTTGTTAGAAAATGTATAGCAAAATCAAGAAAATTTTCGAGCATACGCAAAGTTCATAAATGGTTGTAGATGACTACTCCGGCCGCCAACGAAGGGAAGTAGCCCATCATTTTGTGTTAGGGACACGGTATATTTAATGATGGAAAAAGGGCTCAAGCCTAGGAAGTGAAGGGGCTCCGCCACTTCCATCCTCTGGGTCTTCTTTCCTCCTACTCTCGGTTGGTCTTTTTTCCTGAGAATGTACTGAATTGGAGGTTACCATAACCCCGATAATGCGGACTCCACATGAGGGACATTCTCTGTACCTCTATCCT